AATCACCTGTCATTATTGTTAAGTAGTCCCTCCAACCGATCATGTTGCGTAGGCCCCTCCCACTGTTGACAAATTGCTACCAATTTTCAGCTGCTGGTGAGGTAAGCGTGTGGTCCCTCATAACCCATAAGCCCCACCCAGAACTCATACACACATCGTAAGTGAGATGAGTGGTCGCTGTTTACACATGCGGATAACTTGAGAACGACAGATGTACGCCTTTGGCCGATATTTATAGTAACAGCCATCTTGTTTGACATCATTGAGGGATTCCCACTTTGTTGTCGTTCGCGGTGGCAACACGACCGCAAAGCACTATTGCAGTATTTTTAAACCCTGTAGCTTACAGTGGCGTGGTGGCGGAGTGGTTAGTTGCACTTGTCTCCAAAGTAGAAAGTCCAGGTTCGAGCCTCAGTTCAGCCACAGATTTTTTTTCTCCCCTTCCCCCCCCCCTCCTGCCCACCCACCTGTAATAGGTACCTGACTTCGAGGTGGGGAAGTAAAGGACTAATTTTTAAAAAACAAAATTTTTTTCTAAAAAATTATATATAAGATAACTGACCAATTTTTTGTATGTTTTTTAAATCCGTCAAAGTCACGACATCGCATGCTTTTTCAGTTATCTTATATTTATATATTTTTTGAGAAAATTTTGTTTTAAAAAAATTAGTTCTTTACTTCCCCAACTCGAATTCAGGTACACATTACAGGTGGGTGGGCAGGAGGGGGCGGAAAAAAAATCTGTGGCTGAACTGAGGCTCGGACCTGGACTTTCTGCTTTGGAGACAAGCGCACTAGCCACCACGCCACAGTAGGCTACAGGCTTAAAAATACTGCAATAGTGCTTTCCGGTCGTGTTGCCACCGCGAACGACAAGACAACTAAGTGGGAATCCCTCAATGATGTCAAACAATAATAATAATAATAATAAATAGCATTTATACTGCGCATTTCCATTTCCTAAAAGATGCTCAATGCGCATTACAATGAAAAAGACATCACATCTTAAAAATTAATCGACACAAATGTGTACGTAAAACAAAGTATTATACATATATAATATAAATGCATATGTGTAAAATTTTATACCAGAAAAACAGTCTCGCAGTGAGGTTGAAAATGTGTTCACTAAAAATATACAATGCAATAAAAATTCACGAACAGTCAAAATAAAGTTGAAACGTGAGTAACTAGAAACATTCATTAAAACATTAATTCTATACAGATAGAAAAACAACATGGCTCTTGCTATAAATAGCGTCCATCTGTAGTTCTCAAGTTATTCGCATGTCGCTGTTTACCAAGTCTGTAACAAAGTAACAAAGGACGTCAACATGAACTTGTGACAGAAGCGTCACTTGTTCTCCGAGTGGTGGCGTCCCAAGTGTTTGTTTAAACATGGCACTCGGTCTTCCTCGTGTGATACATTTCGTTTTATTGTCACCCTTGTGTAAAATCAGCAACAAAACAAAAATTACAAACAAAATACAAACCAACAACAACAATGCGGCTACTTTCGATTGGGACCTCAGATGGGAATGGTTTATTTTCTTAATCTTGATCAGTCCTGCCTAAAAGGGCGACCTGTCTTATATGGCCACTGTTCTCCTTGACAGTAGATGGCCGTCTTACACAGGTTTGACTGTATTTCGCACAATGCAGCTAAAATCTTACATTGTTACAGTCTAGGCCCCTGCCTCCTAAATAACCAAGAATGTTGAAAGGGACGTTAAACCTATACCATTTCACGTGTTCGCGTTATAGGCCTACCGATACCGGGTTGACGACTTCAGCTATCACTGGTCATGTAATGCCACATATCAGGCGAAATAGCAGCTAAAATCTTCAATTTTAAAGTCTTTGTTATGAATTGAAAGGTCACAAAATTCTAACCCATACCTCGTTTACTGACAGAGGGCCAACCAAAGCACTGAACTTGTCGTTTCAAAGCATTTGATGTATGAATTTGAATCGACCAGGTTAAGATTTGAACCCAGTTCTAACCCGTCAGCCCAGAGATTTAGGTATCAGTTGAAAAATACCATAGCTTGCCATCATCCATGTAGACCTTTAGCCATAATAGCAAACAGTGACACACAGCTGCACCAAACTGGCTACATGACGTCTCGTGTCTCGGCTGTGCACGAAAGTTTTATAGGCAAAGGGGCTAACTGCATAGAACCGGCCACCAGCACTGTGCTGCACATTTCTTGATATTCTATAAATAACCAACTACATGTTTAATAAAACTATCAGTTGTATTTAAGAAAAATCAAGTAGTAATTAGTTCCTACGTTTATAACAACATTTCGTATAAAAATATGTAAGATTATGCTATCCATTTAAACACTAATCCGTTTTTTGCCTCTCCTGCATGGCGTTCTTTACTAACAGGCCTTCCCAGCGTATGGCTGGGGTCTCGGACTGGGGGCCTACGGTGTTTTCTGTAAGGGAGGTAACTAAAACATTAGACCCCCTTTCCCTCCCCCTGATTCCCGAGTGTCGCGTCGCCGCTTAGTCAGCCAATGACACTACTGACCTAGATAGCAGACGCGACGTATCTGCCAAAAAATGTAATTAGATTTTGCATCTTCCTTTAATTGGACGCCTATTCCCATTCTGCTTCTTGTATCTGCACAACAAATAGAATATTTCACTGAGGCAAACAGACATAGGGCCATGCCCATATTATTTCCAATGGCAGCGCGACGTAACTCAAAATCATAAAAAATGCAGATACGTCGCTCTGCCTTGGCACGACAGAATCTTGCATAGTGTGTAATCTAGTCTTCAGTGCAAGTTCAAGCGTGAGCTGTGTACTGTGTAAAATCAGTCCTTTCTCTCTGTCTAGTGTCTAGCAAGTCTTTCGCAAGCCCGACAAAATCAAATGTTCAATTGATGCAAAGCGTCGTGTTGTGCATTAAGCGGTATTTATTCACCAATATTATCATTGTACTGGATATAATAGCTCTACGTGGTGTTCTTTGTTCATGATAGAAATGTGAAGTGTGGAATCAATTTCAAAAGGTGTTATCGTTCCAGTACAGTCAAGAAGTGTCTCTCTCGTACCAGACTCTTCATTCTGCCTTTCTTGTTGAATCCAACCTTGCATTTCATGATCACCAACAACAGTGTGTAAACTCATTAAAATATTCTTAGATTCACTGGTAAACATTTGGTGTTCGAAGCATGTATGGTTGGTTACTTCAGTCCTCCCATCAATATGTCATAGGGCTCAGGAGGGACCTACTTTATTAACATTCAGCAAATTGTGGAAAAATCAAAATCAAAAGATCAAGACTACTTATATCTCTTGATGCAGACCTTTCAAACCTTGAAGAACCTGGTCATTCCTGCTCCCATTGCAATGTTAACATTGAAACAGACGAAAGGGCTTCAGAAACTGTGGACAATCTAATTGAGTTGGAGCAGTCACTTGGTACAGAGACAAAATCTGTTCTGATTTATATTGCTGGCTATGCTACTTGCAAAGACGAAGAGCTGGACGAAATTTTTCAACTCGGACAGACAACCTTCTACTACTAAAAGTACGGCCACTACACAAGCTCATTGGATAGAGACGGCTTGAATATCCCTTCTGATAGAGCATATCAGTGGACCTTCTTTGCTTTTCTTTTGTTCAATATTGTTAAAGACTCTTTTTGCAGAACATCTTTCTGCAAGTTAACCATGTTTGACAGTTTTGAGATCGAAATGCAAGAGAAACACGGGCGGATTCTGGCACACATCTTTTTTAAAAACTATTGTTACGCTTCCACTCCTCGTTCTTCAAAAGAACCTGCATTGAAAATTTTGAAATTATTATAATTGAATAGACATACACTGCAATCCATTGAAGAAGGAAACTGATACTAGAAGAAATTTTGTGCAAAATGTTAAGGTTAATAATTGATGTGATCAATGTCTAAAAAAACAAACCCACAGCAGAAAGCAATGCAACAGTCTGATTGGAACGTTTAATCATACATTGCTCATTGTTCGATATTTCCCACCCTTATTTCACCTGGATACATGGATTATACTACAGAGAAACATAAAACTGGCTTGGTAAGTAGGCCCCTACTCATTTATAAGGCAGGAACAGTAAATAGATCTAGTTATGTCTTGTTTAGATTGTTTTATATGGACGTTGATTTCGATTTTTTCCCCAAATTGCCTAACAGATTTAATAGTAATAGGGCTAAGTAGTAAATAAATAATTATTAAGCTCTTTATTTTTATGTCACTTAGGACTAAATATTGTAATTACCTTTGGAAACAATGCTCAGAGATTGACTATGGAGTCAACTGGATAAATAGACGTTAATACTTAAATGATATAGTAGGCCCCCAGTGAGAGACCCCAGCCGCACGCTGAGTAGGCCTGTAGTAAAGTACGCTATGCTCTCCTGTAATATGTTACTTTCTGCGTGTAGCCAGTTCGTGAATAACACTGACGATGCAACAATCTACCCCTCTGTCATTTGTAGCCCCCCCCCATAAAGATTGTTTTGAATATACCCCTTTGGTCAAATCCAAGAGGGCCTTCAAGGTCAGATGATTCAAGGTCAGTTTAAAACGTCAGTTTCAGTTCATTTAGAACTCAACAACATCCTTAAGTTTCAATGTCCTATCTTGAGTATTTTTTTTTAATGGATTTTTTTCCTCATTCACCCCCAAAGTTGACAATATGCTCAAAACTGCTTGGCGGCAGTGGGAAAGACAAGCCTTAAAATAAGCTGGCAGTGTAAGTGATAACGTCCCAGATGCTGGCCTCCACTTTCCCCCTGTGCTTTTTAAAATAATGACACTGTTCAAGATTTCCACCCGTCCCAAGACAACCACTTTGACAAGGGGTTGCTGTCTTGGACAATTTTGATAGCGTTTTCAATTATTTTCATTTTTAGTCTAGGTCAATCTCACGTAATGAAAAATTCAAATGAAGGTCTCGTTAAATATCTGTCATATTGATGCGTCTCTGTTTCATACCATATTCACAGTCTGGCACTAAGGGAAGGCATACGGAGAGGTTGGTTCACGTACTCGGAGCTTGCAGTGTTGGCAGACTCAAACTTCATGTCTTGTCTTTGGACAAATGTGGGCCTTGAGTGCACGAAGGTGAAGGGACTGTTGTGACTTTTCTGTTTCTTTTTGTTTTCGTTTCTCAATGCTAAAGTTATTCCACTTTCATTTGAAAGTTTTGTTTGATGTTTTGAGACACTTGGGGGTAAAAACCAATTATGTAAGGACTCACTCAGGTTTTTGGGGTCAGACTGTCCGCGTGACTGCCAGGCCCCTGGAATCCTGAGGGCCACGGGGATACCTCTGGGTATTTGAGGAAATCTGTACGTTGCCCCATGATCAAATGGCTATGGGTGCAACCAGAAGTGGTTGTGCAATACTGAGGCTCAATCAGGAAAATCAAGATCGACTTAAGCTTTGGTTTCCGCCCAGAATTTTCAGTTGATAGTCTGATAACTCAACTGTTGGACATGCAGGCTGTGCATGTTAAATGCAGTCGCCTTGCAAATAAATCAATATTCGTCATACTGGCTGGCAGTGCGAAGTCTGGTAAATGAGGTTGATCACGGTCATTTGACAATTGGTGATGCAGAACTTGCATTTTCAAGAAAAGTTATAAATCTTGGCATTTATTTTGATTCCAGTTTGTCAATTTCGGCTGAGGTAAATCATCTGATCAGCATGTATTTAGAAATAAGAAAAATTAGTAAAATACGTTTTATTAGTAGCCTAACCAGCTTAGTTTTATCAAGACTTGATTATTGTAACTCCTTGTTATCAGGAATATCATTGGAGAAAGGCAAAAGACTTCAAACTATCCAAAACAGTGCTGCACGTTTAGTTTTACGGAAAAGAACGCAAGACTCTGCTACCCCTCTTTTTACCCCCAGTGGGTCGGGGGGATGTAAATAGACCCACTGCTTCGTCTGCAGGAGGTGTAACCCCTTCAAAGACGAAGTGTCGCACACGGACCCCAACCCTCTGGGATCCTGATGCGACACCTACTTTGGTGTATCTTCCTCTTCTCCTTCCTTCTTTCTTTCTTCTTCTATCTTTTCTCCCACCGCTGACCTCATGTGCAGCAAAAAGAGAGGTCACTCATCCCACAGAGTGGGCGCCTTGTTGACCGTGAGGAGCGACCCTTGAGGAGGGAAACTGGGTACCTGGCGATTGAAGTGAAATCAGTCTACGGACTGTCCCTTGCCGACACTCCTTTTGGCCCAGGTTTTCTTCTAAGATGGGGGGGTGGCACGGTCCATGCCACTCAATCGGTTGGGAGTTGAAACCCCTTCAAGCCCTGGGTCCATCTTGACGGGAGGGTTTTATGCACTCTCGTGGAGAGTATAGCTCCGGGGTAGCCCTGGCACAGCTCTGGTCATCTGAGCAATGTGTCCTCTTGTAGGGCTCGATAGCGGGTGGGGAGCCCCGGAGTTGAACAAATAACAACACTCACGTGGAATTTTCTTCAAATAAAAATCCTTCCCCAACTCCCAACGTTTCAAAAAATCTCGGTTCGCAGAAGCGGATGCGGCCACGGAGCCGAGCAAACAAACACCAAAAGGGAAAAGGACCTTTACGACTGCCTCTGCCCTCTCCCCTCTCAGGGAGCTTCCGCGGCAGCCGTACTTGACCATCCGCAGCATCGATGTGCATAAAAAGATCACAGATCTAAACATATTCAAGACAGGAGATGCTCTAAAACAGGTTCTGGGATACATTCTTACAAATGTCCAGAAACTGTCCTTTGGTGCTCTCCTCAAGTGCGCATCGGATAAAGAACTGGCCGGACTTGAGAAGATCACGACCGTCTGTGGTGTTCCTTGTGTATCAGAGTGACACCAGAAGTTCAACCAGTTGAAGGGCGTGGTCCACAGCCATGAGCTGAAGGGCTGCTCAAACCAAGAAATTGTGGATAACTGTGAGGGTGTGGTTGAAGCCCACCGAATAGTCCTCCGATTTACTATTCAGCGGGGGGAGTCCACACTGGAAACGAATACAATAATTCTAACTTCCGATTCGTGCCGCCCTCCAGCCACCGTTCGGGCATTATACTTGGTCTTGGACGTGCGACCCAATGTGCCAAACCCTCTGCACTGCTTTCAGTGTCAGAAGTTCGGCCATAGTCAGTCGCGATGCCGACGTGCAGTCGTGTGTCCTTGCTGCCGCAAGACTGGGCATCCTGAAAAGGAATTCAAGGCTAGTCCTTGCTGCCCAAATTGCCAAGGCCAGCACACTGCCTTCAGCGAGGATTGCCCAACTTGGACACGCAATCCAAGAGTATAAAACGCGAAATGGCTGCTCTTCTCAAGAAGCCCGCTTCAACTGTCAGCGCTTCGGACACTCACAGCTGTGCTGTCGTCATGGTGCAGCGTGTCCTCGCTGCGGCAAGGAAGGACACTCAGGGGAGACCTGCTCTGCAGATCCCTGGTGTCCAAACTGTCGACAGGGGGGTCACATTGCATCTTCGACGGAGTGTCCGAAGTGGTGTCAGGAGAAAGCCATCCTCACACATAGGGCCCAGTACAGCGGAACGTTCGCTCAAGCAAGAGCAACGCTATACCCAAAAGGATCGACGCCGAAGAATACAACAAAAATATATTCAGAAGTCCTGAAGACTGTCCCAGGGTCAGTAAACCCAACCCGAAAGGTCCTTCAGACAAATAGAAAGCAGGACACCTGCAAAAAACAACACTCCAGTCTGGAGACGGAGGAGGACATTAAGTCCACTTCCTCCGCTCCTATCTCTCCCTCTCTCCATCCACCATCTCCCCACACCCCCTCTTCATCACCACCCTCTCAGCCATCTTCTTCATCCTCTCCCCCTTCATCGTCCTCACCCTCATCATTCTCATCATTACCCCCATCATCTTCACCCACAACATCCTCCCATTCATCATCCTCACACAAATCACCACATCCTACACCCTCATTGCTTCAACCTCTATCCCATCATCCTTCATCGAACAAAGCCCCTCCACCCACTCCCCGCACCCGCTCCCCCTCCTCTACCCGCATCCAGGACTCCGGTCCTCCTCCCCCTCCACACTCTCCCTCAAAAAAGGCTGCGGTCCACCGTGACCGCAGCAAAACAAAACAAAGACAAAGGTCACCAACGACCAAAAAATAATGTATCGAACCCGTGCCTTCAAAATAAATTAAAATGGCAGTTCTTCAGTGGAACATTCGCGGTTTGCGTGCAAACCAGGCAGAACTCTCTTATCTTTTGACCTCACACACCCCAAATGTAATCTGTCTACAAGAAACTAAATTGCCAACACCCACATTCACATTAAAAAACTATCAAACTTACAACCAAATATACACCGACAACCAAATCACCTCTGGGGGCAACTCCATTTTAATAAATAACCAAACACTAAACAGACAAATACAACTAAACACAACACTTCGTGTCGGATCCTCCCTTTCAGACCCCCACCAGCAGGAGGAAGGGGAGCATCCTTTCTCCTCTCCTATTTGAAATTAAAATAAATTCCATAGTGAAAACCCTCCAAAACAGCATAGACAGCTCGTTATACGTTGACGACTTTTTGATATGCTGCCGTTCAAAAAATCCTCATTTGAGATCTAACGCAGCTGCACAAACTTGAAACGTGGGCAAACAATAACGGTTTCAAGTTCTCCCCGTCAAAGACGGTTGCAGTACACTTCTGTCGAACAGGCAGACATGTGCTGCAGCCAGATTTGACACTATACGGGGAAAGGATTCCCGTCCAGGACCAAGCTCGTTTCCTCGGCGTCATTTTCGACAAAAAACTCACATTCATACCACACATCAAAGACCTTCGTGTGAGGTGCCAGAAAGCGCTAAACGCTTTGAAAATTCTATCGAATCCGGAGTGGGGCGGGGACTCAAAACACCTTCTCCACCTGTACATCTCCTTTGTCCGGTCCAGGCTTGACTACGGCTGTCAAGTCTACGGATCGGCAAAACCACACATCTTAAAAGGCCAACATACCACTACTCTCACTCAGACGCACACAACTCTCACTACAATACGCAGTTAAACAGAGCTTAACACCGGAAAATCCAGCGCACAACAGCATTTTTAAAACAAACCCAGAAACCAGGAACAAATTCCAAAACAACAAAAAACTCATCAAACCCTTCGGCCTCAAAATCCTTGAGGACCTAAAAAACGTACACTTTTCCAAACAAGACATCCAACAATTTCTTTTCTGCGACCTCCATCCGTGGCACCTCACCAAGGCAAAAGTAGATTTACAACTGACAACACACAACAAAGAAAGCACAAACTCCAAAACTTTTAAGGTAGAATACCAAAAACTAATAGATAAATACCCCGTTGCGGAGCTCATCTTCACAGATGGGTCCAAAAAAGACAATGAAGTGGGCGCCACAGCCCTATCTTCCAACAGTACACACCAGAGGAGACTCCATCCTGAAGCTTTCTTCGCCAGGTCGTCTACCTGCTCGTTTCCTCGGATGCCCACATGGCTAGGTATCCATGTGAACATGATGTTTTTTCCAGTTTCAGATAGTGTATGAATTTTCTGTTGTAGCCTAACAATTTTTGGATGTAAGAGTGTGTAGTTTGTGAGTGAGGTGATGCAAGACAGAGAGTCAGAAAGGATAAGGAAAGATTTAGTAGTAGTAGTATAGGGTTTTAAGACACTCGCAACTGCTAAGGTCATATGAGCGCGCGAAACACAAGTTGTTTACTTCCGCAAAAGTTCGCTGCACGATTGGTTAACTAATTGATTCTAAAATGCTAAAATGTTAAAATATTAAAATTCAGTGTAAATATTATATTTGTGATTTAAAACAACTCTTTTAAGTAACAATAAAAATTTTAAATAGTACGTTTTCATTTTACAATTTGCCATAAAGGCCAATGGCCTTCATAAAATTCAAAATTTTGCTGGAACCAACGACGGAAAATATATCTTGCAATTTCTTGCAGTTATAATATTTTCTTCGGATCACTCCAAAGTCTAGACATTCTGTTAAGATGTGTCTAATGGTAAAATCTGTGTCGCATCCGACACAGAACGGCTTCTCATCTCCCTGTAGGAGGTATTTGTGGGTCAGGGCCGTGTGTCCGATGCGCAATCGAGTAAAAATGACTTCGTCTGTTTTTCTGCTTTTCCCAGTGGCTCTCCCACAAACTGGAGGTGTACTTTTTTACTTTATTTCTAAAGTCAGTCTGTGGGAGAGAGTGAAACGTACTATTTAAAAATGTTATTGTTATTTATAAGAGTTGTTTTAAATTGAAAATATATTTACACCGAATTTTAATATTTTAGTATTTTAAAGTCTAATAGTTAACCAACCGTGCAGTGGACTTTTACGAAAGTAAACAACTTGTGTTTCGCGCGCTCATATACCTTACGCAGTTGCGAGCGCCGTAAAACCCTATACTACTAACCTCTGGGATCTGCGAAGCCTTCCCCTGCCCCCATCTCTCGGATGAGAGGACTTGGTTGCTCTGGGAGGAGGGGGGTGGGGAATCTAGCTTCCAATTGGTATTATTATTACTATTAGTATTATTATTATTATATTATAATTTTTGTATTTCAGCAACACACAGCAACTATGCTCTTAATAGCGTCTTTCTCTTCTTTATCTCCTCAAACAACTTCTCAATATAATACAACAGACACCAACATACCCATTCATTTTTCTTACAATCCCTCTGTGATGGAGTTGGGTTTTTGTTTGTGGCATTGCACCTACAGCCACTGCTTTATCTCCTACCCCGGGATGGAAGGAAAATCACAGAACCACCAGTTTTAGATGCTATTCACAAATGATAGAATCCCATACGAGCTGAGATGCCGCCTCGGTAATCAAGGTCTCCCCCAGGTCTTAGTGGGCAACCAAGCTGGCCTGGTGGATGGTTATTGGAAGAACAGCGAATTCCTTCGGACCTCTCCAGAAGAGACGAAGTCCTTTTTACTTTGATTGCGCATCGGACACACGGCCGTGACCCACAAATACCTCCTACTGGGAGATGAGAAGCCGTTCTGTGTCGGATGCAACACATATTTTACCATTAGACACATTTTAACCGAATGTCTAGACTTCGGAGAGATCCGAAAGAAATACTAAAATGCAAAAAATTGCAAGACATTTTTTCCGTCGTTGACCCCCAACAGAATGTTGGATTTTATGAAACTTTGAATAGCTGTGTTTAGCTCGGATTGGCTACTTCCTTGATTACTTAGCTTACAATTCAAAACACTGAATAGTTTTAGTCTTTGAATGGAATTCTTTCAGAAAATGAATGAAAGCAAGTGAAAATCATCATAATGCCAAAAAGTAGTGAGTGGCCTCAAGTTATTTATGACTACATATTTGCTCTATGCCCCTAATGCTAGGTTAGAAAATTCAAATAGAAGCCTGGGATTATAGTAGCCGACATTATGTTGAAGAATTGCCTTGATAATGAAGAAAGTACATTGCTTTTGTTTATTCTGCGTAGCTGACCTCTGTCCTAAGTGTGGCCTACGTGACCAGCCTGCTCAGTCTGCTTGGTTCCACTGCCCTTGCTGTTCAGGTAATTACTGTACCATACTATGTTTATGTGCGTTTAAGAACATTGCTGTTCTTCAGGCTTGTTCAAGACTTATTAGGGGGGATTCTGTTTCACATGTACCAGCAAGGAAGCACAGTTGACTCACTCTGTCCAGTTTAACTCGGGTTAATTTCTGCTTATCTCCTGCAAGCCACTCCCAGCAGCTCATGGTCGGAACCACTGTTCCGGTGAACTGCTTGTGGCGATTTGCGCACATTTCTTTATGATGCCTTAGACTTCAAATTACTTTTCGTCAGTTGCCAAAAACAGATCTCTTTTTGAGGGACTTTATTCGTTGGAAGAAGAACTGTCAAAACTGGTTCACTTGCTTTGATTTAATGACCAATTTAGAGACATATTATGTCACTGACACTCGTAGATTTTGTACCAAAAGAGGGCCACGTTGTAGTGGGTTTACCCCCCCCCCTCAGAGATAAAGAGTAAGGTTTCCTAGAAGTGTCTTAATTCTTGATAAATTGTTGAAGATGCCCCGAGAATGTCTGTATAATGTGACCTTTGTTAACAATCAGTCAGAGAAATAATGTGACCTTTGTTAACAATCAGTCAGAGAAATTGAAGAAAAAGTGTCACAGACTCTTCTGTCTGTGTATTCGAGCGAGATGTTTGCTGTAGTTTGTCTACCCCTCTTGTCAGTAAATGGTACTGTTTTCCTACTGTACTTTTTCATGACCAAAGGTAAATAATATCATTAGCTGCGTGATTCAACCACCTATGTGCCAGGAGACAAATTTTACTGGAGAAGCAAAAAACTTATATTCTTCAGGGTGTCCAGCAAAGATGTAAAGTCGTAAAAAGTTGTAAATTCGACACCCTGGTCGTAAAGGTAGTAAATGTGCAGTGAAGGTAGTAAACATTTGTTAAATGGTCGTAAATTAACCTGCGTACTGAGTGATGAAGCCTGCAAGACTTTTCAGTGAACCCTAGGCGCGGTACATGACTCCGTTTTTGCCCGTCGCGATTGTGATATAATATTCATTCACCTTTTCATCGTCCGAGAGTACGTTTCGCACAAAAAGTAAAAGGCGGCTATGGCACTGAGGCTCGATTGGGAAAATCAAGATCTGCTTTTGCTTTCAGAAATTTGCCGGAGATGGAATGGACTGATAACACAGCATTTGTGACATGTCATTTTATGCTGTATAAACACTGTGTCGCTGCGCAAATAAAATATAGTCAATACTCGGACTCGTCTCTGTGCTGTCACTTGTGGGGGGGGGGAGATAAAATACAAGCGTCGTCTGATTTTTGGATTGTCGGGCTCGCCACCGTGAACCTGTGCGTATGAGCATGGCGTTTGTTGTTGGGGTCGGCAAAGTTGATTCAAAGTTGCGAAGTACATATAGGACTACAGAATGGGGTAGGGGATTATTGATTTTTTTTTTTAAGATGCACTCGGGGGAGGAGCGGGGATGCTGAAGGCAACACCCGAGGACAAAAAAGTTGAAAGCAAATTTCTGAAATTTGATTAGGTTTAGAGCTCTCTGCATAGCGCACTTTGGTGCAGGCCTTGTGTGGAATCTGGTTTCTTCATTCCTTGTAAGCCGTGTTATTGAAGTAAAGTGTTCGCGTTTCATTGGATGGGTGATAGTAAATTATAACAATATTGTCGCTTTCTGTTCAAGACTGGCAGATTTTCAGTGTCACTGCATCTTGCCCTCCCGCAGTTCTTACAACTCTCAGTAGTCTCACATTGCATGGGTCTACTAGAGCCATTCAAGTTATTAAGTTTGAGCAATATTTTCTGTCTTTCATGTTCATAATATTGTGAGTCATGACACCCAGATTGGTTCTTGACAGTCGAAATTCTTGTTCAATGCCCTTCCGAACGCTCAAAGCAGGATTCATTTTTTTATATATAGAAATCTTGAGAGGAAAATTTATAACAGACTGAAATACTTTTAGGCTAAGTCAAACAAGACCCCAGTGCGACACTGACATGTTGTTGTCTGGGTATATTTTACGTGTGTGTGTGTTGTTATGTAGCATGCGCCTGGAAAATTGATGACCCCCTGGAAAATAGAGAAGCCGGTTTGGCAGTCACCCTGTGTGCACACATTAGGTCTAAATCTACACCCCCACCAGTACTACTTACTGTTCTGAAGCGTCTTTAGGCTGTTCCCAAAGGGGGGGAGGGGGGGATATTAACATGCTCTTATGCACAGAAGAATTGTAGGTATGGGCTGATTTATCAATGTCATGCTCATACTGTGCCGGAACAACATAGGGGTCTGTCTGTCCTCCATTTTGTCGACTGGACTTTGTTGTGTGTTATTTTCGTTCTGTATATTATGTAATAATAATATGTTAGTGATGGCGCAAATAAACTCCCTTTTTCGAGCTGGTGTGGAGCTTGATTTGCTGTAGTAAATTATTTTTCCAGGTAGTAAATTTTTTCAACAAATATTGCTGGACACCCTGATTCTTCTTAACTTTCATACTTACGAATTCGAAGTTCAAATATATGGTATAATATTATGTAATCAATTATAAAAAAATGCTTTATTTCATAAGTTACTGCACAAGGACGTACATTGTAACTTGTCTAGTTATTTCGTTAGATTCCCTGAAGTCAGCAATGCAAAATTGGGGATTTTTTTACAAGTATGGTTTTTAAAAAATAGTATAGTAACGGTTCCATTAAATTCATCAAGTTTTTGGAACATAAACAGTGTAACATAGATGGAGGTTCTCGCAAAAGGAATCATCTGCTCAGATTATAGAAAGCTGTATTTTTATATGAAACATCAAACTGGCGAAAAAATCTGTAATTTGGCCATGGAAAATCTTCTTCGATGGGGTATCAAGGACAGGGATTGCAGTCAAGTCAAGTATAAATGTAGCGTAAACAAAGGCATGATGATACTGAAGGGCAGGAATTTTCTAACATCTTGTCAATATAATGTTTGCCTTACTCCAGGCTTTGTTCTGAAGTCAAACGTTTTTCTAAGGGCAAAGTGGCACTGAGCGACTGTTAGAGCTCAATGCAAAGATGGTGTTAATACTGTTAAAGTTGGCCTATGTATCCTTATGCGCGACGCGGCGTAACGTTGTGTGCGATAGTCGTTCTCAATAAGTCATGAGGTGTGTCCTTATGCACGACTATGCCGCGCCCAAATTTTCAGTCGCGTTCGACAGAAGCGACAAAAGTGTCTCTTTTTACGCGACGTTACATCGCGCGCGACTGGCAAATCCCGTGCGCGATTGGCAGTTCACAACAGACAGTAGCAAGTTATTTTTTTGCCCGTATCCTCTAGCCTTGCCTTCACTGACACACACAAACACACACTTTGACACACTTACACACACACACACACACACACACTCACACACTCCCCACTCACTGCGTGTCGACCTGGGCACGTCTTGGCTTGGTATTTTGACCAATGGTGATGCTTTTAACCTGCCATACCTCCAGTCTGTCTCACGTGACGAGATTCTCGATCGCTACACAGACCGATTGGACACGACAGTCCCGATCGTCGCGCCGCGTGTAAGGAGACAGTTTCTACTTTATAGGCTATTGTTAGGGGACCGTACGCCCCAATAGCGCGTGGCGCTAGGGGACCGTACGCCCCCATAGTGTTTGGCGCTAGGGGACCGTACGTCCTACCTGCGCTAAGGCGTGGTGTTACGGGACCGTACACAGATAGATGCATGCATCTGGACTTTGCAAAAATACTGGAGGAAAACGTCCAGTTTAACAAAGCTCCTGACGTAAGGAGTTAATACTAGGAGAATGTTTAAAATATCTGATTGCGATCGTGAGGTATCCAGTGGCCGTGGGTGAACCAGAATTTGAAATTTGCTCACGTCTGCACCCACGTTGTTGTTATGTGTCAATAAAAGAAATCAAAGAGAGGGAGGGGGAAGAGAGAGAGAGAGGGAGGGGGGGAAGAGAGAGAGAGAGGGAGGGAGGGAAAGAGAGAGAGACAGAGAGAGAGAGAGAGGTGGAAAGAGTCTTGCACACTGTATTCTAGAAAATTCCTCAATAAGTACTAATAAAAAATCCCAGCCGATTGTTTCTACAAATTTAAAAAAAATTTACAGCTCCGGCAATATCGCTTTTAAAAGCAAGTCTGTCATTTTTTTTCCAATCGCAATAGCATGCACGCTTATTGAACGTATGTTTAGGAAATCTTTAGTGCAAAAAGAATGTGTTCATTATAAAAACATTTTTGTATGAAGTTTTGCCACTATAAAGTGTCATTGGCGAGCTATATGGGTATGCAAAATGTGTGCGAGAAGCGGGAAGTGCTATGAACAATCACATTTTTCGCGTGGTGGAGATTTATAGGCCTAGTATTTTATATAAATTTATGAAGAACATTTAAAAAAATCGAACCTCAATTGTTGTGAAAAAATATGATTCAGTTAAGACACTGTTTTATACAAACTGCTGTGCAAAGTATGGGTGACACTGATTCTCCCGTTAAAGAGATACAGTGTATTTGAGGAAAAGTTGCGCCACGAATTTTTCACCGCACTATTGTTACACGACACATGCGCGCAAAAGCAGTCCAGTTATATATACTAATGTTGTTTTATTATTAATGTGGACCGGCGTATAATATGTTAAGCGCTTGCAAATAAACTTTAATTCGTCTGTGCTTAGTTCACTCCCCGACGTTCTGTCAAGTCTCTACAACAGTTTGTTTTGCTTTCCATCTACCTTTTCCAAGCTGTCTTCTTTTTCCTTTCTTTTCATGTTATTGTTATTGTCACTGAATGTGAGTTGATCTTGCGTCTTGCGCGCTATCAAGACTGAGTGCGTGCTCAGGCGTGTTCTCTCATGCAAAAGTGAGTAAATTTCCGGCGTTTACGAGCGTCATTAAATGGGGCTAAGGGGCCTATTTATTTCAGGTCGCAAAGCTTAAAAATTAAAAATGTACTCACGTCTGCCCGCAGAATGCGCCTGAGCACACACACTATTATCCTTCTCTTTTTTGTCCAAAACATTCCCT